ACATGCTTGCATTTTTGTATTAATTTATTTTTTAGGTGAAGTATGACAAATATTAAAATAAGGAACAATCACCAAGCAAATGGCCCACTGGAAAATTTCTGATTGCCCAGTGAGCCAATCTACCACTGGCATCAAGAGGGACTTTTTTTATATTCATCATTGTGGCACTGGTGAACCCATGATGAATATCTGACATATCTGAGACAGACCAGGCAGGCTGGATGGTGCGGAAACAAATCCAAATGTGTCAAAAAACTCCAGAAATTTTTGGGAGATGTTTATCTTGGATATATTATGCCCTATCTCTTTCTACTTTGCTATCTCATTGTGGGTCTGACTGAACCCACAATGGATGAGGACTTAGAGGGTTCTTTTTCAAAAAGAGCCCTCTTAGTCCTTCATGGACTCTTTGCAGGGTATAAAGAGTCCAAGAAAAAAATCCAAGACAAACCATCCATGTAAAACTTATGGGGTTATTCACTTGGATTAGATTCAGGGTCTGCAAAAGTTGGTAGATCGATAACCTAATCGGTTTAGTCATTTGTGTTATTAGATTTCCTTTGTTGTTAAGTAGCCTTAAGTTTCCTTAAAAAATTTAAGTTTATCTATCTATATACTTAATGGTCAGNATTTTACACAAATTGCACAAATTTTACTCCAACTTACGCGGTTATCGCTCAGTCCCACCTATCATGTAAATTCGGGGTATTACTGTATACAGTATATGTGGATATATAAAATTTTATATAGATGCATAATTATATAAATATAATTTAAACCAATATTTTGTTGTATAATTCTATGCTGAGAAACTTTTTAATCAATATTTACTCTAAAATAATGTATTATAACATTAATATTTAAAATACAGTAAGACCCCACTTAATGCGGGAGATACATTCCTAGATGAGAAAGTGCTAAACAAAACAGCATTAAACAAGGTCATTTTAACACAGAGTAGATAGAGAAAGGGGAACATGCGACCAAAAATAAACAAATTTTACTTTAATTATTCATATTAATTTGAATAATAATATATGTTAAATAACACACAAACATATGCCCACAGAAATGTAAAGTTCAATTTCTGTGACAAAGTTCATGACTCTACTGAAATTCTTGTTTTTGTGATAAAGTCATGTAGTTTCATTTGTTGCTTTCTTTTTTTTTCCCCTTAATTTAAGCAAATGTTGGTAGCAGGAGATCACATTCAAAACTCCTCATCTCACTTTTGCACTCCTTTCAAAATCTGGATCATTCACTATAATTTGATCAATGATTTTGGTTATTGTTACCAAACTTTTACTAAGAAAATCTATAGAGAAATTCTTTGGGTTCTTCAATTTCATAATCACTATTTTCCAGTTCTACATGAATTCCTTGTTCTGCCAGTTCTTGAAGAACGTCATTGGTAAGGCTCTCACCAGAAACATGTGGTAATTCCTCAGTATCCTGCTCATCTACATCTCCTAATCCTGCTGTATTGATTAAGTTGACAATTTGGTCAACCTAATGATATAGCAATAGGCTCTTCTCGTTGAGAATTCTTGGATACTTTCAGCAATAACTTCTTCCACATTTTGTTCGTGAATTTATCAGTTAATTCTTGCCAAGCGAAGTCGATATTTCCTATGGCATCCATAATGTTATATTTTTTCCAAAATTGCACCAAACAAACATAGATTTAAAGAAAGTACACCTTTTTGCTACCTTTTGCTGATTGGTTTGTGTTTGCAAATAATTGTATTATATACAAATCAATAAAATGCCATGATAATTTAAATCAGCGTAAATTTTGAGCTTTTTTTAGGCTTTGAGCAGACTGTGTTATATCAAATCACTGTTAAGCGTGGCAACACTAAGTGGGGTCTTACTGTATATATATACAGTATATTTATCATTTCAGCTGTAACAATTACATTTTAATTAAATTCTAAATAGTATACAGATTGTATAGTATACTTTAATTAAATGGAACATAAATATTGATTAATTATTAATTCATCAAAAACAACCTGAGTGGAAGTAATGAAAAAGAAAAATGAAACTGTTATTATGAAAAGAAAGATGGACGAAGGTTGGTTTAGGCAATGAGAGTTCGAATATAGAGTTACAAAGGTTATTTTCTAACCATTTCAAGGGGTAAGAAATGTATTCTGTATTCTTGCATTTATAACATAATTTTTGATCTAAGCAACTAATAAAAATCAATATAGTGATTTGTCTAATTTGTAGTTGTTGAGTAGGTGTAACTTTTTGAACATTTTTTACTTTTTTCAATAAATGATTTATTAAAAATTACTTTAGCCACCCCAAAGCTGTTAAGATCATAAATTATGTCATAAATGCAAGAAACAGAATATCTTCCTACAGTTTAAAGGGTCAGAAAATTGACTTTGTAACCCGATCTTTGAACTTTCACCAAATAAACACTGTTGTCTTAACCTTAAAATTGTTTCTTTTTTATTACTACTGTACTATGGTTCTTGTCAAATGAATGAATAACTTTGTAAAAGTTTAGGGTTTCTTGGTACCATAAGCTTAATTCCAACAATAAGGCAGAAGTTTAATAACATTAATATGTATGACAATAAATGATGTTTGGCAACTTAGTCAGATTAGTCTTCTCTAACATATAAAGAATATTGTTTGGCTTTTTACAAACAGCCCTCCTCTCCTATTCCTATTTTAAGCCAGTCATTATTCAACATCTACAGTTAAAATTATTGTAAGATAGATTACGGACGACATCCATTATTTAGAGGTATTTATAATAGATGTCCTATTTGAAGGGTCTGGGGATTGCAAAAATGTCCATTAAGTAGATGTGTCTGCTATTTGGGAGTGTCTGCTAATGGAGATTTATATTCTTTTTCACTCTACATTTATCTTCCAGATTTTAAAAGAAACAAATTTTGTATTTCAAACAATGAAAAATTTCTCTACTAATGGAATTTTAAAGCTCTACTTACTATCCCTTTGGAAAACTTTGTTTGATCATTATTTGCAATATCTTGAAAAAATCTAGATCTAGTATAATAACTGAAGACCTTCAGTACCTAACAGGATTAACTAAATATGGACAATAATAATATAGTTGTAATAACTATTTAAGTTTATTAATTTTTCAGCATTATGTTTTTTAGAAATTTACTTCTAATAATTCAATAATTTATATAAAAGAATACCATAAAATTCATTGTAAGAAAATAAGACAAATACAAAACCTACAGAATATTTTATTTAATCATTTCAAAATAAAGTTCTATTGAATTATTTTAAAGTAACAATTGCTCCCTTGCATGTCCTGGCTATGTCACTGACTTATGTGTTTGCTAGTAAATATTCCCAGATTTTAATATACAGAATTTCAGAGATAATCAACATGCATGAATATATATTCACACCTCTTAGAAGAAACACAACTCTTGCTTAACTTCTATTTACTTGATTGCCTACAAACAACATAGTTCTAGCATTTATTCAACATCTTATCAAATCCAACAAAAAGAGCAACAAACCAGAGTTTTTCCTCATTTTACATATTGAATGTCATAGTATGACTTGTTTTATAGTCTCAAAATAATTAAAATTGCTAACATAAATAGAAAAGGTTCCATGCATTAAAAATACAGTAATTTGAAGGTCTATTGACAGCTGAAATTTATATTTTCCTGCATTTTACAAAGGTAGTGATACAGTAATCATCTTTACCTTTATTTTTTAAATTCATTGATTTTTGGTATATATAACAGCCAAAACTAAGTTATATATAAAATATATTTTTTACAATGCATTTAGATTTTCAAAAACTATACATTTCAGATATTTATAATTTGACCAGACTTCCATACATGTTCCATCTGTAGAATGCAGAAAACCTGAAGCAGAGCTCAGGAGCCTAAAAATGTTCGTATATCCATGAAATTTGTCACTAGACAGCAGTCAGGTTTAATGAAATGTGAAGGTATCAGATATTTCTATACATTTTATAAACAAATAAGTCAATCATATATTAATTTTGATTTATTTTCAGCTACAAACAATGTAATAACTGCTATTATGTAATAAATTTTTATTTCAGCAACCCATTAGTGCCATTTTACAAAACATATCATGATGATAGGAGAAACCTACTATTGAGTTTTAAATACTCTGCAAGAGGAAAAAGTTCCTCACTACATGTTTTAGTCATAATTCTAAGCATGTATTTCTTATTTCAAGGTTTGTGTTTCATTGCTTTTAAAAATGTTAATTTTTGAAGTTTTTGGATTCTAAATATGTATTTAATAATCAGGATGTACACCAAAAGTAAGTAATATCTTAACATGTATAGTTTAATAGTGTAATTTGTAATTTAAACATAGATGAAACACCTACACCTACAACATATCTCAAATTAACACATTTTACTAATGTTTTCATCCATTTATAAGAGACATCTTCAGGTATAAATAATGCATTTTTGATATACATAACACAATAAAATGGACAAATTAAAATTGAACAAGCTTTTACGAACAAATTACAAATTCAGTTTAAAATTATTTCTCGAAGAAATTACACATTTAGTTTAAAATTATTTTTCGTATACCTTACAAGACGAGTTTAAATTATTTTAATTAATTTAATTAAAATTATAGTAATTTGTGATTGTTAAAAAATTGAGCGATGTTTATTCATAACTTTATTTTGTACAGTTTTTTATTTTAACAAACATAAAACGACAGAAGAGGGACGAAATGAGTCCGAAATACATTCTGTTAAAAGGTACTACAAGAATAAAATAAGAGTATTATAATACATCAAAATCAAGGCGACAAGTTTGGTAAAACAGTACTAACAGGTTGCCGAAATAACTTTTTAGGACAATACACCAAACAAGATGCTGTTATGTAATCCGAAGCTCATTAATATTATGTAATAGGTATATATTTATGTAAAAAATGATTATATATATTCATTCAAATTAAATATTTAAAAAAATGAACAAGACTTACTTTAGATTTTATAATTATTAATGATCAAGTCAACTTGTCTAAATACAAGATACATTGTTTCATTGCATTCTTTTCATTATCTTTTATTATGAATTGCTGCAACTTACTCTGCAAAGCAAAAATAACCATAAGTCAGAATTTCAATAACAAATGATAATGCAAAAATTCATAATTTTAAATATTTAATAATCTGATAATCATTTATAACTTCAAAAATTACAAATTACATGTTTATAATTACATTTATATCAGAAAAAATAGTTAAATTTATTAATGCGTGTCATAAATTTTTTTTCTTTGGCTAAAGCGTGTCAATCAGAATTATTAAACGATGGTAAATAGATGCGGGATATTTTCAAACCTGAATTTCCCTGACGTCACTTCTAAAACTTCCTTTTAACGAAGAAAATTCCCTATACCGATGGTCGGAGATTGAAGAGCACTGACGTCACATCATAGTGTTGTCAGTTTTGTCTCGATGACATTTAAATTATTTCCACGTTATATTAGAAATGCAAGAAAAAGAAATCGAAATCTAAAATTGTTTGTTTGTTTGGTTTTTTTTCTATAAAGACTTAAAAGTAAAAATGCTATTCTTTATTTTTACATTAAAAAAAATTTGCATTAAACTTTATTTCATAATTTAAGATTTCAAGCAATAAAAATATTTTTAGAGTACAAAATTTCCTAGAATTGGTATTTTTAAACCAAGTCTTCCTTTTTTGCTTTACTTATTTAAATTTCCCTAGTTTTAGGAATTTTCCCTAAATATATCATCAACGCCCCCTGACTTTTAAAAAGTTATTTCTTTTAATTTTAATCTGATGGTTCTTAATCATATCTTTCGATGACGCATTTCTTTTGATCTTTATTTTATTTATTTATTTATATTTAAATAATATTACGATATTAAAATAATACATCTGATATTCAGGTTATTTCAACCATATCTTCTGATTATTGTTAACTATCGTTGATTTATCTATTCTGCTCAATTAAATTTATTAATTTGAATAATTGTTACGTGTGTGATGTTATTTGATACATAAATGACCAAATTTTGAATAATACATGTTAATCAAATGTTAATAAATAAAAAAAAAATTATTACAAAACTTTTTCCTACAATTTTTTGACGCACTGTATAAGAAAACTGTATTGTACAAGAGAAAATTGAATAAACATTTTTAAAAACAGGCGAAAAGAGTTTAAATTAATCAACTCGGTTCTATCAAGCATCAAGTGTCGACCCTTGACACGTCATAGTATCTAAAATGTGTTACTTTTTTGAGGTTTCAGATCTTTCTGGTAACTTTTTGATTGCGCCATTTTGTTATTTAGCAACAAGTCTGCTTCTATTCTAACATCTCATATCAACGAGGGAACGAGTGATGCGAGCGAGCGTACTAGTGTAACCGGGATAAATTGTAGTGTTTTCTAACAAGTGAGGTCTACTGTTTAAATTTACAAGAAATTTGAAGCATTTCCAATTAAAGGCCTGCGCATAACGAAACGTAGATAGATGACCGCCATGACTGTATTGTCATCAGGAAAAGTATGACGTACGGAGACAAGACAGTACTAAAATCGAGAGCATATATTTTAAATTTATGACGTAATTCGTAATTGTGACCATGTCACAATAATTTTGTGGATTTTTTTTTTTTTTTTGTTTTTCACTGTCCTGTATGCAATGAAAGCGCATTTTTCTATGCCCGTCATGGCCAGTCTTACAATGGATGTGACGAGGGACGGGATTGACATATCACATTACCTATATAAAATTATTGAGATTCCAGACCTCATCTCCAGAATGGCAGATTGGCATTTTTACCGCCTCGGCCATCCATCCGACAGAGGAGAGTGGGGCAAGAGTGCGAACATTTGCCCCGCAACATCGTTTTTTTTTTTTTTCAAAAACAGATGCTGTCATCTACACCGAGAACATTTCTAAACGTTTACTCCACCACAATGAAACGAGTCTATCAAAATATCTAAGGAATGATTTTCCTAAGTTTATACATAATTATGAAATATAGTATATCAAAAAGATAAAAAACGAATCTTACCTGATGATTTCAAAACTATTCATGCCAAGTCGGTTACTATTAAGTCTTCAACAATTCAGCAAGAGAACTTACGAACTAACTCAGTAATGCCAACTTGACATTTATACACCTTGACATTTGATAATTTTAACAAATTATCTAACGTTTCTCTATCTTTTTAAATTCTCAAAACCCATTTTGAGCTAAAGCATATTTTAGCGCGGAACTTCTTTGCAATATAGCGTCGAGCATCACTAGTTGCCGGAGGCAAGAATTTGAAAATAAAAATAATTAATACTGCCTAGGATTTGTAAAAATTATTCTTATTTTCTATGCTTTTATCATTTTGTAGCCGTTGTTTCGTTTGTGTGTTCTTGCGGCTCCTAAAACCCATAACATACAAGTTAAAATAATTTAACATGGTCAAATAACATTTTTACGTGCAGTTTCTATTCTATTATATTAAATTTATTTATTTTATTTTACATATTATTAACTTGTACTTACTAAAAAACAAAGAATACAATACGGTCACACTAATCGACACGAGTGGTAGTTCGGATTAACGAACGTATACATTTGAAGCTATTTTTTTTTAAAACTATTTAAGATACTTTACAGCCGAAAATTGATGTTAGAATTATTGTTAAGTCAAACAGGGTCGCGGAAAGAATGAATAATAATACTCACACGTGAATTATCGCGTGAGCTGCAGGTGTACAGTACAGTTGACATTACTTAAGTTAGAAGCTGTTCGGACTACCGAGACCATACTGTAATTTAATGTTATCAATTTATTACAGCATGAGGATTTATTACACCTTTTGGAAAATGTTTTTAATTGAACACCAAGAGATGTTTTTAGCTGTTCTACTTTTATTAAATATGCAATTTAGGACAGTTCTGTCCCCCTCCAGTTTTGAAGTAGATACTTTTTGGTTTACAAGTTCTTTTACAAATATATTACTTTTTTTAACAGTAATAAAGAAAAAATATATATGACTCACATCTAGAAAAGACTGCTCATCACTGGCTTAGGATCCAACGTTTTTAAGGTTTCATTTGGTGGAGGAGTAGGGCCCGTTACGATATAGCATGGTATGGCTTAGGGCCGTAACAATAAGTCCAGTAATTGGTTTAGTTTAAAGTGATGCTAATATTTTGCTTTCAACTGGTATGTACAGTAAGTACATTGCAATCTACTTAAGTACACTGATCTCACACAAAAAGGTTTGTATCTACCACACCATTTTTAATGATTGTCCTTGTGCTTTATAGTAATCGGAAACACTAATCTGACTGAAAATTGCAGCCACTTAAACTGAAATATGTTAATTCCCATAGATATGCTACCTTCTCCCACTGCATTTCCTGTCAATATTTTTGTCCTGTCAATGACATTCAGCATCAGTTTTTTTTACAATCATTCTCATCCCATTGCATAAACTTTGGTTGGTCCAAATTTTGAAAAACCATTACTGGGGCTCCAACCTTTAGCTCTAGATTATGAGGTGGGAGTCCAACTGGTTCAGAGGAGTTTAAAAACTCCACAGAGTACATTATTTGCTTGAGAATGTCTGATTTGCCTTTGATTGAGACAATCTCAAGCAGCTTTGTTCCAGATGGGCTTCACGTTCTTCACCACTCACCTCATTCCACAATGGGGTGCAGTTGGGTGGTGAAGAACTGGACCCAATCACATGTAAAAAATTCCTGGGTTTGCTCTCCTGGGGCTTCCAGAATGGTTGGCTGGTTCTTAACTGCTTTTTTCATCAAACCATGCCAGAGAGGGATAAAATAAAGCTAAAGCTAGTCATAAATGAACTGCCAATCAGTTTCATATCCTGCTGTTTAAACGAAAGACTGAATTTTAGTTCACACTGAGCATGATTTGCTGGCAAAAGCGAAAAACAGAGCGAATAATCCGTCAAACATGACTTGTTTGACAGGTTATTCACTGTTTTTCGCTTTCACCAGTGAATCGCACTCAGTGTGAACTAAGCTTAATGCTTTACTATCTCCCCCTGCTCAATCCTTTGTATACATGTACTGTACTTACTATACAGTACCAGGTATTTAATTTTATAAAATAAAAAAATATATTTTTATCATATTTCATAAAATATAGTTTAGTAAATACTGTTTAATAAACTATATTTTAATAATGAATAACTATAAAGTAAAAATTAATGTTTAATTAAATAAACTATAACAAAAGTTTTCTGTTATTCACTGATTCTGAATAAACATTTGCTTTATTAGCATTTTTAATAATTAATCAATTGCTGCTATACATCAGAAAGATTTTATATACAACAAGCTCTTATTTTGTTATATACATAAATAAATATATATATAAATCACAAACCAAAATTATACCAAAAAATAAAAAATAAAAATAATTACATAAATTCTTCAATTTAAAAGAGAAATTTTATTACATAAATAAAAATCAAACTCCATTCATAATTAGTTTTTAAATATTAAAGTTTACAAATTAATCAGTTTGTCTTATTATTAATTCATAAATATAAAAAAGTTCAAACAATAGTCTTGTTGAATAATTTTCTTTTGTTTACAGTTTGTATAATACAGATCATATGTAGAAATTGGAGTATACAGTTATCTAAATTTGCATATTAAGGTTATAAATCTTAATAATAAAGAGAAAGACAAAATGGCAAATTGTTTAACATGTTAGTAGCTGGTGACAGGAATCACTGCACATGCCTGTTACTATCACCAATGTTGTAAAAGTTTGCCATGTTTTTTGCTTAGAAAATTTTATTATCCGTTTTTAAGTGAAATTTTTTATTTATTATTTATTTTACAGTTCTAAGAAAGTTTAACTCATTGATTTTGTATTATTATTCCATATATCAATTTTTTTATCCACAGATTTTTGTATATTTCCATTGTATTCTATGTAATTTTTTTGCCATACAACTAAGGAAATTGCTTGTAAGGGGCAGCAAATATGTTAACAATACAAAATTATATTTTCTTAATTAAAAAAACTTCAATCATAAAAGTAAAACAATTAACTTTAAATTACAAATTTATAATTTTCTTAACAAGTGATCACAACATAAATCATAACATAACACAGAATGAAATATCTACTTAACTCATGAATATACAGATAATGATACGTGCATATATATAAATTTAGTTTAAAAAAAATAACTTAAAATAATTTTAATTAAATTATTCTTGAATAAATAAATTTAATTATGTAACAATGCAAAAATTGTGTATTATACTATTTAATTGCATAAATTGGCACAATAAGAAAAATTATTTCATAATAGAGAAATCATTTATTCATTATCTTTTATGTTTTTATTTGAATTTTTATATTAAAACTAATACTAAAATACTAAACTAAATACTAAAAAATAATAACCAAATTATTTTATTATATGAAAATAATTCTTAAAGGTAAAGCAT